TTCTATAATTGTTTCACGTGATTTTATAATTAAATATGCTTTTAATAACGATGAATAATAATCCTTTAAAGAATAAATAATAAATAATTTTTTGTTTAACATATTATTTTCTTTTTTGAGAAACGGACACTTGCTCACTATGCAAACTTTTACAAGAATTTTGAATAATATAATGAAATAAAATGATACAATAAATGAATTTCTAGTGAGAAAATGATCATTATCGTCATCATCGTAAATTGATTGATTCAATTGTTCCAATATTTGTCAAATGCATAATTCTAATTAAAGTTGTGTAGGGTTACTCAACCCTACAGGATATGAAAAAAGCTTACTCCTCATATCTCTAATTCTAACATAATCACAAATTGTATTCAACGAAACACATATGTACAGAGCAGCCGCGCAGAATAACAGAATGACCTCACAAAAAGTAATTATGCCAGTTACTATATCAAAAATCTCTAAAAGCGTACCATTATTGATATATAACGATTAGATGGCGTGGATGCATGTGCGACGAGGAATCGCGCACAAGCACATTCAGATCCATACCCTTCTCGTAGTCTCTACCTCAACTACAGTAACTTCCTTTTTCCGTAGTCCCGGTACCGCACATCTCTATCCGTGAATAAGTATTCAAGTGAACAACTGTCCTAGTGAGTAATTGTCCGCGTGCAACTGCTCCGGATCCTTGTTTACTTACTGATTGACGAGAAAATTCTTCGGATCGTTTTGTCATATAATCACAGAATGCATTTAACCATAGAATATATCGACTTTTAATATTTTCATCGAAATCTGGCCAAGGAGAATTTAATGGTAAAAAATTTGGTATTTGTAATATTATTTCATGAAAATCTAAATTAATATCATCGAATAAATGTAATGCTCGAATAACATTCATAGAATTAAATTCAATAAAACCGACACGTTTTTTTGTTGATAATATAAGAGAATTTGTATTATGTTTTTCAATAGATGAAAAATTATTTTCAGCTAATATTAATGCTTCTTGTAATCGGTATGTATTTAATAATTGATCTATTTGTTCTTGTATACTAAGGGATTCAAGTAAATAAATATTATCTTTAGTATTTATTAAAATATTATTTATATTTCCTTCAGGAATATTTATTAAAGTTTGACAATTTTTTAAAGGTATTTCTTGTTTCAATTGATCATCCAAATAACTAAAAGAATATAATTATAGATGATTGAGTTTCTTTTTTTGTTTTTCAATCGAAGAAAAAATGAATACCTATAAATATGAATGTAATCTTTGACACGCACAAGTAGATATGGATGTGAATAGATAAAATCATTTGGTTGACTAATAAACATAATCGGAGTACGTTGACTTGTGCCTTCTAGAGTGGTTGTAATGCCAATATTAGGACCACTAAGAAGATATTCACCCTATAAAATAAGAAGTGCTTTATATTGAATCAACATCAAATATGGATCTACAATGACTTTAATCATTTTCAAAAGTAAATGTGAATTCGTTTTTTTTTAGATTCAGTTGTGTGTAAATTTAAAGTAGCATCTAATCAATAGATTATTATCGATAGAGATCAAATGCTCATTCCTTTTCTAATAAGACTCAACTTCAAAATGCAAACAGTGGAGTCTAGAACGTTTAAATCCTATATTTACTGCATAGTTATTATAGAATTTAATTAAATTGACTTCAATTTTTCAATCTCTGATAAATTTATGTATAAAATGATCGTAAGAAGAATTCTATTTATATATAGTTAAATACAATCAAATAAAACCATTGAAAATTTCGATGTGTTTTCAAAGGAAATTCAACTGAACCCATAAGCAGTTACAAACGATTAACTAAATCCAAACATATCTAAAAATGCTACTATCTTTTATGATATTCAGCTGATATTTTGAATGTATGTATGCAAAAATAAACCCTGATTGCAAGTACTAACTCGCCGTTCATTGATTCACATATGTTGGAGTTCTAATTCAAAAATCATCTTCTTCTTGTGATCATTTTATTCCGACTACGTCAGTATAAATATTTATGTTTCAACCCTTCATTCAAAAGCTCCATGTCGCAACTATTTCTGATCTGAGTTTTAATAGACATCACTTTGAAATGATTGAGATATGATTTTCTCATTAAGAATGCCTGTTGAAGTGTAAATGCTAGTTTTTAGTAAGATAAATCTTTTCCATGACGACTATGACCAATTCATTTGACAATTGTAGTGAAAAGTTCTCATGAGACAACGAGCTTGCGCTAAAAGTTTCAAAACTACAGTTCTGAATGAAATCAATTTAGTCCTACGACATGATTTGACGATCTCAGGGTATGGTAATCACTTGGATCTTCACAATGTGTCATGGACTTCGATGATAATAAATTAGGCATATGAGACTACTTTTTGCACTCGAAAAAACAGAAATGATTTGTGGAATAGCAAAATGAAAAACAAAAACTTCTTGAATGGATATTTCTGTTGAATATATTTATCACAAGAGGCAAGACGATGCTTGAATCATAATGTCCGTATATATGAACTACTGATGAAGAACGGGTTAGTGTTTGTGATCAAGGTTTGTTATCACACACATGCACTCAAAATATCAACTCAATAGCATCAAAAAGAGTAGTACTTCAGGGGGAACAGCTGCTTTTATCAAGGATGGTATCAATGTTCTTTACTTACAATCATTTTTTCACTATTAATATTGAAATAAAATCCGATATATTTCACAGGTGGGTCTGATTCTTCTTATCTTGGATCATTTCATAGTTGAAAATGTGAAAAAACAAACTTACCGGTTTAATAAAAGTAAAACAAGCCACTATACTAGGATCATGTAATGTAAATATAGTCTGTAAAGAACCTGTTGATCGACGATCATTATTCATTGTAGGTCTATAAGCAAAATAAGCTGTTTTTGAACATGCTAGAATACCACATTCATCTATTCCCTAGAAGAAAATAAACTTATTACTTGCGAATTTTCAATTAGCATAAATATATACAATTGATATTAATGGATCGTGTACAGATATTTCATATATTAAATTAATATTCATTCGATCAAGTCGATAGATTTGTAATTTATTACGTTTTGTTGATACACACATCTATATATTTATATAAAATAAAAATTCTTTATTATATATATATATATTTATCGATCTCATACATCAATAGATGCTCCTTGTTTGAATTGATTTGAAACAGCAAATGTTATAATATTTTTTAATTTTATATTTGATATAAACTAACAAAAACAGACCAAACTTTATTAAAAAAGAAAAATTTAAAAATAAAACAAAAATTTTCTACTTGTAAATTATCACTATTAAGTACTTGAAGAAGATTATCACTTAATGTTATCACACGATGAAGAGATAATATGACGACTTTAATTTTTCCTATTGGTTTTCGCTAAACAATCAAAATGAGTATTAGAAACAAAAGTAAATAATTATCTTACTGTTCCAAGGTTAACACTAGCCGTACAATGACATTCAAATTCTTTTGTTTCTGAACTTATTGAATTTTTTTGTAACGAAAATTTGTGAACGAGACTATAAAGAGAAGATTATCAAATTTATAAAGAATAATGTCAATATACATTTTTATATTTGAACATGAAATCGGATTGACATTTGCTTAATATGAAAGAATGATATTCTATAAATTTAATCTTTGTAGAAAGACGATTTTCTTTTCAATAATGTGAAAAATATTTTGTAAACGACATATACAAAAGTTTCAGAAAAAAAAAGTCTGAACTTAGTTACGAATATACTCGGTTTTAGTATAGTTCGTAAAAACAAAGAAATCAATTTACTAACAAAATATTGGTTCATTCATTTCATGAATCATTTACCGATAAAATAATAATACAAAATTAGCTTTGTCACGTATTGAACAGATTGTTCTTGTACTATTCAAAAAGATTTGACATTTAAAATTCTACAAATCTCATATTGATAAATTAAATCTTTTTTTTGTTTTTTTGATCACATTAAACATCTTTCTATTCCTTTATATAAAAGATTTTAGAGTATTAATATATTTCCTTTTTTTTTTGTTTAAAAATAAAAAGACTAATCGATTTGATTATACTTATCATTTACCTCTGAATTACTTGTTCGTTCTCGGACAAAACATATACATATATATATATAAAACAAAGGGTGTCACAGTGTCATTTCATTGATTAATTCTCTTAAAAGTAGACTATCACATACATCCATTAAGTTAAATCGATAACACGAAGAAATATATGTGTGTTATTAAAATGTCATTCATACAAAAGGTTAAATATCTATCTAAATATAACAATGAACGAATGATCGATTGATGAAACTAGTCATTTTTTTTTCAATTAATTTATCAATACAACAGGTGTCTTTAATATCCTTATTTTCTTATCAATGATATCACATCAGACAGCAAATATGCTCTTAGCTTAAATATATATGTATAACAACGCCTATTTTATACAAGACTAAATGTACAGACAATTAATCATATTTTGCTTATTATACAAACAATAACAACAAAATGGAACGAGACATCAGTACCCTATAGGGAACTATAATTTAGGCTGCATAATCGGTTAATCGAACTGTATGTTAAGGCTTTTTTTTTTCGTATGAATGATTGAAAGTTTATTGACATAAATTCTTTTTTTTCTATGTTCAAGAAATGAACACACACTCGCACACACACACACACACGCACGTATATTGAGTTCAATTACCACTTGGCTAGCATCGATTATTTATCTTGATCATAGAGCACTAGGCAAATATCATTTAAAAGTATTGAACGTGTTCATAATCTATATGTATACTCGACATATATATGTATTCAATTGATACAGCAATGAGAATAACGAACGTCTGACATTGATAGATATTGATGTAATATTTCACAAGAAAAAAAATCAAACGAATAGAAAATTCACCGGATGTTGTCAATTGAAATTATTTTGTTTGTTTGTTTTTAAATAAATGATAATGAAATAGATATAATAAATAGAAAAAATACTGTTAGATAATTAATATTTATTTTAAATGATGAGGACGTATTAATTGATGAATTAATTGATTCTAATGATAATGTTATACCACATGATTCATATTCATTTTGTTTTGCTTGTTTATATTGACGTCTAAGTTGTATTGTTAAACATTGTGTTTCATCAAGTAATGAACGAAAACAATCACGTAAACGTGAATATATATTACAATCATTATCAAGTTGATCAGCATATGATGAATCTTGTATACAATTTTCAAATTTAAATTGACAAAATTGTGAACGAAATGGTTGTAATGAACCGAGAATATTAAATAATTGATTAGATAATTGATCATCTTGATGTATTTCAGAAAAACAATATTTTATTGTCGTCAATATGACGATTAGTTGATAGAATATATTTAAAATTTGATTTATAATCATGAAAGAAAAATAATAATAATAATATTCAATTGAATCGACACAATAATAAAATGAATATGTATATCTATACAGGAAGAAGAGTTCTAATTTACATTGCTATCGTTGTAGAGTGTACAATATGTCGAAAGAGAAACGAGACGAGACAATGATGATGAAGAATGGCTAGGCAGAAATATGATAGAACATTTTTTTCTTCTTTTTTCTTTCTCTCTTTCTCTATGTGTCCTGTTCAAGCATAAGCGAGAAGAAAGACAAAAAAATGTCCACTCGTATGTTCGCTATGATTATATGAGAGAATTTACGCTGTACTAACTAGTGATTATGATGAATGGATGAATGAATGACTAGCGGCGACGATTACTCTTTGTTCGGTGTAAAAAAAAATAGGCGGGAGGAAATCCGTTGTATCACAACATGAAATAAAATCTGTTTGAAAAAAAACATCATTCGTAACAAAAAAAGAAAGATTCATACTAACTTAATTAATTGATTACTATCATTCTTTTTTTCTTTATAAAATAAATGGATAATTATTGTTCTTGATGACACATTTTATGAGTGACTATCTTTTGATCTATTTGCTTGTCATGGATCGTTTCCTGTTCTTGTCAATAATGGCTATTAAAATGTCAAGTATTACTCGTTTTTATAGACAATGAATATATATATTTTATATGATAATCACGTATTCATCATAAGTAATAAACACTTTCAATCACTGATAAATTTTTAAGTGACTAACAAATACAACAATACGAAGAAAAGAAAAAAAAAAAGAGTATGATCAAAGTTATTTAAATGAAATAAATCTTGCATGACAATATGATCAATAAATAGTAAAAGAAAAAAATCAAATAAAAATGTATCAGGCAATCGTATGCACAGTTCAATTTGTTGTACTTTGATCTTTTTCTTTCAAGGATCCTTTGACATCTGTTTTTTTTTAATTTTCTATTCAAATAATCAAATAAAAGTATAAGCGCATTTCTTTTGTTTCTTATGAAAATGTCATTTCTTTCGAAGATTTTTTTTTTCAATACATAATTTGTACAAAGAAATGCTAATGTATAAATGACAAAAAAAAAAAATACCTAATGGAGATGAAATAAATATAATATGCCATTCTTTTTCCTTTCTTACAAAAGATATCGATTTTCACTCGTCCATTTAGATGTTTGACTCTTGATCATCTACTCTCGTTTTACATGTTTCATCGCCTATCGACCATCGTCAAACAGAAAGAGAAAAGAACCTGATATGCATTGCGATTAGAATGGTACCATAGCGTTTCGACATATCGATAATTTATCTTCATAAAAAAAAAGAAGACGAAGCGACGTGCAACATGTGCACAAGTACAACACGTTCATTTTGATATCTCACTGCGGGAAAAAGCTTTTCTGTTTCTTTTTTTTCTGTAATACAGACAATGAGTGGTTCATAATATAAATTAGTTTATGTTATCGAAAGTCTTCAGGAATAAATGATTCATTTTAAAAATTTCTTTGTTCATTGTTCATATACTGAAATAATTATAATATTTAACAAACAAGAGTAAAAAGAAAAATGAAATGACAATACAAGTTAATTATTCTATACTCTGATGTTTATATTAAGAAGCATTGCATAGATATATAATCGAAAAAGAAAATGTGATCTTTATGACCTCCAAAATGCAATTGAATATCACTCATTGCTATCGGGTAGAAAAAATGCAAACGAACTATAGTAATATTTAATCAAGTCATCAATTCTATATGTTGAATAAACCAACAAGAATAACTTACCCATCTGTAGTTCCAATATAGAAATCATTGATGCGGGTAGAAAATGGATTAGATGTTGATATTGAATCAACGTTCATATCAATACATTCAATCTTATAAGAAAAAAAAAAATCTTTTTAATCAATCATATTCAATGAGTCTAATTTATATATATATATGTATGAAAATGTTTAAAAAATAGATACATACGACACACTAAAAGTTTTTTTGTTGCCTAGATCTTCTAGAAGTCGTAATTTGAGTGCAATTATTCTACTAAAATGCTTAGTCATATTTAGGATTACATGAAAAATTTCACACTAGTGACTCATGAAGGAACTTCCTCAGATGTTCACATCTGATTTCAATGACTTTTTGTCTATAGATATTACATAGCATTCTAATAAAAATTCTAAAAGGATTTAGGCTCCTATTGAGATTTGACTCAGCTATCGAATTTTTAATATGTCTAATATTTCGATCCCGTATTTTTGGAAAATTCTTATTTTAGAATTTTGATCTGAGATTGTGTGCATATAGAAAACTCAACTAGATTAACTTTTATGAAAAAACTCAGAAGTTTTGAACAACATCTCTTCGAGAAATGAAACTCCCAGTAAAATGCATGCTGCATACACTATCCGTCTGAGAGAAGATTTTTAAAGTTGTTTCAGCAATAAATGAAGATGATTCTCATTGAGCATACGAATAAATAGATGACATTCTGAGTATCATTTCGTCAGCAGTTATTTCAATTTTGCTTATGTTTTAAGTCCTTAAAAGTTTTTATGCTCGATGAATGCATTATCAATTCATTTATGACTGAAAACAATTTTGATATTCAATTGAATTATCATTTAGTGGAAATATTTGGAAGGGCCTATCTACATATAGTATTCTATATTACTGCTAGTGATAGATCATAGCTTTTGAACATTACAAATTAATCCACGAAGAGTCAACGGTCATCGACACTAGAGTCAAACAAACAAATTTCACCATTTTTTCCAGCGAACTTGGTTTAAACAAGTATATGTCATTAGGATCTAGCAAATAGAAGTTAGACTGTTAATAGTTGCCTAGCAGAAGTTTTCAAATTGCATCAACTAAGAAACAAAAGATCGGTCTTTAAGGTCTCAATTTATACTATGAAAACGCGAGGCTACAAAAAGACTGGAATACCAACGAATTTTCGACAGAAGATCATATAGAACCATAAATCTAGTATATTCTTGAGATCGAAACTCAAATATAAACTATATGAAGCTGGATTCAAAGACTTCAATGCAATGTTATATGTCTCAAAACAATCCATAAATGGCTTTACAAAAGAATATCCCGGAAGAAAACTTCAATGATCTGATCTAATCGATGTACAAATGCATTGTCGATTAGGAGTGATATCTTTGAACTGTTGTCTAAAGGACTGGTGAAAAAACTTTTTGAGTGTCCTTGTAGAAAATATGTTCTTTAAAAGTTTATTCATCAAAGCTTTGTTTGTCATCAACATATATTTAAAATGTTTTTTTTTAAAAGACAAAGTAAGTGTGAACAAATCTGATGTTAATACTGCAAAGTAGAACTCCTTCTGACATCACACTATCAATCATAAAAAATTTTAGTGAATGACAGATAAAGAGAAAATCATTTTTGATGAATTTAAATTGTAATTTTTGAAGAAAGATCTTTTTTAATAAAATATAATAATTTATTACCTCTCCAATGTGGCCATCGGATTGCTGTGTTCGAGACCAAAGAGGGATTATTGAAAAAATATTAAATGTCATATGGATAATTAATCTAAAAAAATGTAGTTTGTAGTTGATTATTTCTAATTTGTAAATATTTGTAATAGCAATTAAAGTAGAGAGGAAAGATAATAGACAATTTTATTTACTGTTGGTGTTATTTGAGATATAATTTGATTATAACTTATGGCACGAAAGTCTTGGCACAAAATATTTACTCATTTTTCATTCACATAAAGACAGCTAGTTAGAGTCATACTTTTTTGCTTTTGTCGAATGTGTTCAGAATTCTTTTCTTGGATAAAATTGAACAATTATCAGTAAATTTTGTAAGAGTCTAAAACTGTCTCTACAAAACAAAATAGTAGTTTTGGTACAGTCTTCAGTTTTTGTAGTTTATATTTTAGGACAACTTTAATTCAACATTATTGTAGACAATAAGCGAAATCTCATATTACTCAAAATCTATGCGTTTTCACTAAAGAGCTAGTTTCTATGGGAATTGACATTGGTCGAAAAATTGTTGTTTCGAAAAGTGCTTTTAAAAATACAAAAGTTTAAAAATCTGTTATATAAGATACAACAGAGAAGTAAACAACACGTTTTGTAGAACAAATTTTGCTCGATAAAATTGAGCCATTAAAAATCATGTCGTATTTTGGATTTGATAGGTTTCAATTGAAATACAAAATTGACCAGAACAGTATTCTGTGCAAACACTATTTTCGACCTTTTGAAATAACGAGCGAAACAGTCTAATTCTAACTGACTGCTTCTGTTTCTAACCAGCTGCCTTTGAGTAGCCAAAAATTGAGTGAATATATTGTACCAAGACTTTAGCGCCATAGATAAATATTTTGATATTTATTATTCAAGAGAAACTTATTAGGCATAGAAATTTCTCTAAAATTTAGATCTTCATAAAAATGTTTCGTGACTATCACTGATTTACAGTTAAAATATCGATGGTTTGAGATTAAAAGAAATTCTTCTAATATTAGACACATAGAAATTTTCAAAGCCAATTTTGTCAGTCATATATTTTTATAATAAACATTTAATTCAACAATTTCAATCAAAAATTACTAGATCAAATTAAAGTTTTAAATTGTAAATTTAAAAAACATCTTTTTTCAACTATTATAAATTAGCTATTGACTCGCGATCAGTAGTAACTAGATTTCTTCTTATAGTAAATATTCTATTGTGAGTGATCAGCAACATCTGATTTCATATTGATATACCGAGAAAATGTCTGGTGATCAAGCAAAGGTTCTTTATATCACTCTAACCAAAATGATTCATCAAATCTATCACATATACTAATGTATAGTTGAAATCAAAATTCCTTGTCATGCTTGTGTTGCTAATATTTATCCTTATATCGCATTATAAAACGTACAGTAAATTCCAAAACAATACTAGTACATCCAAACATACATCAATGGGAACATTGAAATATCTGTTACGCTTGGCATACACTGTCGAACGATTGTTAATACAAGATTTTAAAAAATACAGGCAGTACTTGTGCAAATCCATTTTACTAAATTGTTCTACAAGTATAATTATAAAATAAAACCTATATTTGATTACGCTTTTTCACAGTCATAAAGATTTTCATTGGTAATGTACAGCTCAAAAATTAACTAACTATGGATTAGAAACTCTAATAACACCAAACATAGCACCCTGATAAGTACATAATAAAATTCCGATTATAATAGCATTTAAGTATGTGACTTAGACTCATAGTTTTTTCAAGAAATCCTCGCTGTTGGAAGCTGCAATTCTGTAGTGTAGACTGATAAGAAAGCCTCGGCAAGTGATAAATCGCTATCGAACTCAGTTTTACCTCTTAACTAAGTTTTATTGAGAATAGACAAAGCCTAAAGGAATTCATGCACATAGGTTTTTCTTCTCAACTTATGATCATAGTAGTGAGTTTTTTTTTAATAAAAAACTTTTTCCCTCTCTCACTCAAATCATGTTTCGAGTTCGAATTTTGCACAAATAAAAGTTCTCAATGAAGCCAGTTCATAATGAAAATACCAAACTTTCTATCCTAAGACATAAATATAAAAACAAAATTTTCAATATTAATATTTCATAATAGGAGATAATAGAAAATCTGATAATTTCATAACAAACTAATTCAATTCAGAAGCTTATTTGTATAAAGTTTGAACTCGAAAATTGATGCTCAAGATTGTCTAAGAGAGAGAATGTCTTTCTCTAATCTCAATAGGACCTACACAATGAGATAAGACTGATGTCATAAACGATTAATCACTTGGCGAAATTCCTCTTAAGTCGTACGAAAAAAAGATGCATCTGCAATATAAATATAAAATCCAGCAATAATACTGTGAAGAGCCAATAAAGTGTAGCATTCATTTCGAATAGAGCGATATCTAAAATATTCTTATCAAATATAAAATTGAAGCAATTATCTAATACATCATATTAAATAAACGAAGAAAATATTTATATGATTAGATTAATACAGATATAAATCTATTAAAAATTTGAATTTCTAGAACTTTTTTTAATTTAACTGTTTCATTTTAATTAACATAATGATTTTATAAACGAATCATTTTCTCCTATAAAGAGATACATAATTTTTTATATTGACACTCATAGTGCAACATCTTTGTTCAAAGATATCTGGCTACAAGTTTTACTTTAACTATGACTCTATTCTAATGAAAATTTCTCAAAATACAAAAAGATTTCAGCTAGTTCGATCTTAAAAAACTCTCTAATTCTTATCTTCTCTAAACCATATTAAAATATACGCAGGAATTTTAATCTCAATAGTTTCTCTTCATCAATTGGTTATTTAATAACCAATAAAAAATTCTCTGGTTAACCTCATTTATTCATCTGCATAAATCACTTAATGATCTCTTTTCTATGTTAATTATTCAAAATTCAACTTGGCTCATATTAATTCATTTAAAAACAAAAATTATAGAAAATTTAACTTATTTTTCATGAAAATTTCAACGTCCTTGATTTTTCTTTTTTCCTTCCTAAATTCTGTGACGACATTCGCTAGAAATAGTTGTACGCGTATCACACATTTTTTCTTTCGTCCTTATTTCCTCTCTCTCTCTCTCGCTCTCTCTTCGCAAAGATCACCTATTTATCTCTAGTTATACACTCTCACTGCTTCTCATATTTGATATATTTTGTTAGTTAAAACTCAAATTAGGTGAGAATTTTCGTTGGTTTTTGTTTTTTGTGTTTTTTGTTATTGATTCAAATTAAAAAAAAAGTCTCATGGCCTTTATGGGCAAATACAGTAATCTTCTGATACGACGTCCATCAATTTTTGTATATAAATTTTTCAAACAACTTTCATTTGATTATCGTGATGCATTGATTGAAACAGGAAAAAAAATGATTCAACGTCCTATGAAAACAATTTTTTATTCATCAAATATATATTTACTTATATATGCATATCAAACAATGCCATCATTTCAAGCATATAAAAATAATTTAATACAATTTCGTCAACAACAAATATTAACATCAAGTCTTATACGTAATAAAAAAATTGAAATTTATATGGATACTATTGAAACATTATTAATATCTGATCAAATACATTTTGTTGATTGTTATCTTTTTTCATTAATTATATATAGAGCTCAACGTCGTTCAAATGATAATTCATATAAAATTTATGAAAATTCATGTTCATATTTACATTTAAAAAGACATTCAAGAATTATTGATATTGGTGCATTTAATCGATGGTTTATATTGAATAGAAAATTATATGAAGCAGATACTTTTGATAATATTAACAATGAAAAAATTGCTTTGTAATAGAAAAGAAAAAAAGAAAAAAAAAATATGTTTCGAGAAATAGAACGAAAGAAAAAAAAAATTCAATTATCATTTTCTTTTTGTTCTCGTTTCAGATAAAGATAAAAACAAAAAGAATATCGGTCGACACCTTATTCGTCGTTGCTGTAAACAGATGTTTTTTAGTGCTTTCTTATTTTATGCGTCTTTATTTTCGCTCGTACGCTTTCTTTTATTGATATGATATCGATCTTACACATACATTTAATATGTACGTGTGTATATAAAGAGAGAGAAAAAAACGAATTTGTGTGTCTACTGATGAACAATCGATAGTGTTGTGTTTAAATTCGAACAAGTAGTTTTTTTCTTTTTTGTTTTATTCTCTCACTGTCTCTGAGTGTCTCTTTCTCTTTTATTTATATATATATGTATATGCATCACATTTTGTTGTTGTATTGACTTTGTTCTTTACTTTTTTTTCTCATCAGACGAAAGGAGTGACATTCATTGCAATAAAATATTTTAGTCATTTTTTTCTTTCAATAGAATGATACACCCTTTTATTTTTCATTTTTATCTTTTTTTTAGGACTAAATAAATCATGGCCACGGCAATGGATGACAAGAATTTAAGAGAAAATGTTCTTAGTACAACGACTGGAATTATGTCAACATCATTATCAAAAAAAAATGATAATGATGATGTACCAGATTATAATGAAGCATTTCCACAGTTAATATCTGCTGGCAATGTTGATATTAATCGTTCGAATACATTTTTCTCATCATCATTTCCATCATCGTCATCAAATGGAAATAATCCAACAGGTGCCATGGCTAATACCACAACATCATTATATTCAACAACAAAAAATGATGAAGAACGACGACGTAAAATGGCTATTCATGCATCATCGGTCACAACTAAAATTGTAAGTCATTTCATTTCATATAAGACAAAAAAAATTTATTACTTTTTTTTTTTTCGTAAATATGACATTTGATTGTATGAGACATTTCAAGTTTATTCTTATTATTATGCAATAGAATATTTATTTTTAGTTTAAGAGAAAATTATAAGGATTTCATACTCAATTTTTTTTCTCTTTTTATTTTGCAAATGCAATTATTTCAATGTACAGTAAATAATTCACAGCTTTAATTAAATTATGGTGCATGTGTATATATATATACATATACCATTGTATAAACTGAGATCGAGTGAAACTTGGAAATTAGAAATTTAGTGATTATATAGTCTAATTGAATAGTCAGTTCCTATAAGGTTAACAACTTGACATTGGCTTCTAGATTATAATAAACGTTTTGTCAATTCAAGATTACACTCTGTTATATATCATACTTATAATTTAAAAAATTTTGATTAACCCTTACACGACTACCATTTGAGATCTGTTGTAAGATTTTAATCCTACTTGTAGTTTATTTCTGTATATATCCAAAACTCTTCGAAACAATGTAACAACTATAGGTAAAACAATAATAGGAGTGAGAGACAACCATAAGATGAAAAATTCCATAGATTATGAAGAAGAAGAAAATGAAGATTTGCAAAACAAGTTTAAAGCAAGGAAAATGTTCATCCCACATGACTAACAAAAAAAGCACTTGAATATGGCTATAATCATATAGATATGATCTTATCTAAAGAAGAAGCAGGTCATAACATTTGTGTGGGTCCCTATTGATAAGATAAATATAACACACAAATTTGTTACTTAGTTTATTATGTATATGTAAAGATTTGATTACAAAAAGAGCAAACAGAAAATCAGCTAGTTCGAACTATATTTATCTAGTCGTTTCTTTTCATAGTCTTATCATTCTTAATTTTTGAAACATATGAAATCATACATCACTATTCAGTTGTACTCTTATACTTTAAACTGTTCTATCATTAAAAGAACAGTTGTATATGATTGAGTAATGTTATCAATGTGCTATACTATGTCCTCAACACATACCTACAAGGACATGACTTCGATTAAATATTATGAATGCATAACATAACAATGAATCTTACTAGGGTCAGGACGAATTCTAGACAGGTCAACAAACATTCATATGTACTTCGAAATGATCAATTCACATAAATAATAATTGAATGTAACTGGCAGATATTATCAACATACTGTACTAGTCTTCATGAGAGCATATCTGGACAATGAGCGGTCTCATGTAATATTGCGTACTTATAAGAATATGATGAAACTGACTGGAGTCCATACTGATTCAAAGGGGTCATGTCAAGGTTAAAATATGGTCGAGATGGTTTGTTTTTTATTTGCATAGCTTGATTTGAATTAATTAAATAGATTTTATATTCGAATTTTTTAAGTTATAGAATTCTAAATTTTTCAATTGTTTATTTTATTTTCAAAGATTGAAATTCCTCCCGATGAACGTGCATTAGATAATTCTCGTCGTACAGGTGGTAATCAATCATCACGTAATACTGGTGCTACTAATAATGGACAACCATTACAAAAACTTTGTGCTCGAATTCAAAAAGAAACATGTAAAGAGAAGAAAAAAAATTTCTTTTTGTTTTGCAAAAAAAAAATTTATTCGTGTTTTTTTTTTAGCTACAACTATAACATTGCTTCATAAAGATCAAACATTAATAGTGACAATAACAGGTCGACCTGAAAATGTACGTGCAGCACAAATACAAATTCTTCGTGAAATTCAAAGGCCTGTTCAATTACCCGTTAATATCCCATTAGATTTTCATCGTTTTATAATTGGCCCGCGTGGTGCAACATTAAAACTTTTAGAGCAAGAAACATTAACACGTATAACTGTACCACCACAAGATAGTCAATCAAATGCAATAATTGTAAAAGGTGCAAAAGATAATGTTAAATTATGTGAACAACGAATTCTTGATTTATATCATACACAATTAAATAAAGGTTTTGAACGTTTATCAATACCATATTTATATCATCCATGGATACGAAATTTACTTGTTGATGATTTACATCAACAATTAAATGTAACTATTGATTTACCACCACCAATTAAACAAACAGATGAAATAACAATACGTGGTGAACGTGAACCAGTTGAACAAGCTAAAGAAAAAATTATGCAATTTTATAAAAATTTGGTAAAAAGAAATTTTTTTAATTCTTTTTTTGTATTGAATAATTTCTTTAGGAAGGAAAAATAATGACATTTCCACTTGAAATACCTTGTGAACAACATCGTTTTATATTAGGTAAAAAAGGTGCTGGTTTAAAAGAAATTTTCGATAAAACAAATGTTATTGTTCGTATACCAAATCAAGAAGAACATTCAACAACAATTCAAGTTATGGGTGAAACAGCTAAAATTGGTGAAGCTATTACAATGATTTATAAAATGGTGAAAAAACCAATTCTTTTTATTTAAAATTTCAAAATAAATTGTTTTATTGTTTTTTTTAATTAGGCTAATTCATTAACTGCTGTACAAGTCGATGCACCACGTTGGATGCATAGTACAGTTAGAGGTGAACGTAATAATGATATTGAAAATTTACGAAAAACATATCCAAATGTACGAATAATATTTCGTGAGGATCATATTTCATTAGAAGGTCCACCAGAAGAAGTTGAGCATGTACGAAATCAAATACAAATAGTTATTAATGAATTTAAAACTAAAAATACAACATATGCAGAAATGGAAATTGATCCACAATATTATAAACAATTAATTGGAAAAAATCAAATACGTTTACTTGAATTGCAAGAACAATCAGGATGTGATATTAAATTTCCATTTGATGAAGATCGACTTGTTAAATTAATGGGTACAAAAGAAAATGTAGAAAAAGCAAAACAATTATTAATAGAACGAGTTAAAAAATTGGTAAGATTTCACAAACGAAAAAAATAACCAATGAAGAAATCACGTAATAGTATTCAATGTGTCATAGTTAAGAATCTTCAAAAAATTTGTCTGTGTGTATATAAAGCAGACGCATAGGAAGGAAATCTATAAGATGAAATTTGACATTGTGAAAATAAAAGTTTCGCTGAAAAAAAAAATTTGATTTGTAAAGCTCTCTCTGTCATAGAAGACTCATTTTAATTAATTTATTTCTTATAAAATTGATTATTTAATTAATACAATTACGTCAAGCTATCTTAAAAGACTCAGACGAACATTATTTATACACCTTTAAAAAACTGAAAACTCTCTTGACCTGCTTGAAAAATTTGTACATATTTCGGGCAATTCACCCCAGTTTATAGTCCGTATAATTCTTTAACTATATGTTAAATCGACATTAGTGAAGTAGTCTTTCATTCACATGTATTAGAATTTCGGAACGATGTCTAAAGAATTTTAGCCTTACAACTCCTAGGATCGAGATCGATACGTCAAGGATATGTCTATCATGTTCAGGTTTTTTTTATATGCACTTAAATCCCTGAACATCCCCATTTCAGTCTATCGAAATGAAATAAACATTTTACTAATCTTTCAACTTGTATGAATTAGACATGAGGAGGCTAGTAGTTTTTAGTACAAGACTATAGAAAATGTTCATCTTAATCTCAGTTTCGATTCTGGTCTCATGTTGTTCATATTTAGTATGATCAGAACTGATAGACAAGACCAACTCAAATTCTTAATTTCTATAGATCCATCAGATATATAGAGAATACAAATAAATTGTACAGAGATGTTCTTCTTATATGTAAAGTTCAAGACTTAAGCAATAGTAGTTATTTAATATAACTTAGTTTCGAATGTTATTTTATCCTATACGATGTTTTCATAGAAATTTTTGTTGAAAAGTCCATAATAGATGATTATCATAATCAAAAGACGGATATATTTTTCAAAAAAAAAAAAAAGTATTAAATCTAATTATATTTCTAAATAGAAATCAATTATTTATTGAATAAATTTTAGGCAAATGAACGTACAACTGATTTAAGTATTGATCCTCAATATTATCCACAAATAATTGGTTCCAAAGGTAAAAATTTAGAAGAAGTTCGTTCAAAATTTAATAATATTCAAATAACATTTCCTGAAGCTAATGGTAAAAGTGATAAAGTTATATTACATGGTGATAAAGATGATGTTGAAAAATGTTCAAAATTTTTACAACAAAAAGTCAAAGATCTTTATTCAATAGAAATTGAAGTACCAAAACGTATATATCCAATGTTAATTGGTAAAGGTGGTGCAAATATTCAACGTTTACGTGAAAAAATTCCTGATGTTCGACTTGATGTACCATCAATGGATGATAATAAAGATTCAACACATATACGTTTAAATGGTAAAAAAAATGATGTTGATAAAGCACGAAAAGTTCTTGAGGAACATGTTAATCAATTAAATGTATCAATTGAAAATTCCATTGAACAATATATAACAATTGATCCTAAATGGCATAGTCGATTTTTTCAAAATCGTCGTAAATTATTAAATGATTTACAACAACAATATGGTGATATGTTAATTAAATTACCTGAACGTAATACAAATTCAGATCAAGTTTTATTACGTGGACCAAAAGATATAGTTGAACAAGTACGAAAACGTTTAGAAGAATTAATTGATACATGGGAAAATACAATAACAAAAGAAATGATTATACCACATCGTCATCATCGTTATTTACTTGCACAAGGTGGTACATATATTCAACCAATACAAAAAGAATATAATGTACAAATTAAATTTCCACCACGTGGAAATAATCAAAAAGATGAACAAGAAACAACAACAACAACAACAACAACAACAACAACAAGTGATGATGATGATAAACAAAAAGATATTGTTCGTTTAATAGGTCGTTCAGATGATATTGATAAAGCAATGAATGCATTAGAAAAAATGATACCTAGTGAAAGTTCAGTTGATATACCATATGAAGCACATGGTATATTAGTTGGTAAAAATGGTAGTAATTTACAATTATTAATTAAAAAATATCCTGATGTTCATGTTACATTTCCACCTGTTAATTCATCACAAAATACAATACAATTAAAAGGTCAACGTGAACAAGTTGAAGGTATTAAAAATGAATTATTAGAATCATATGAAAAATATCAAGCTGATAAACAAGCACGTTCACATGAAATACATTTTACAATTAAACCTGAACATCGTTCATTAATATTTGGTTTTCGTGGTAAAACAATAAATAATTTACGACAAAAATATGATGTTAAAATTGATGTTAGTAATAATCAATCATCAACTAGTGTACCAACATCATCTATAATAGATAATAATAATGAACAACAAGATGATAATTTATCATCAAATGAAATAATACAAAATTCAAATTCATTATCTGATGTTGAAATTATTTTAACTGGTTATGAAGATAAAATATTAGCATGTCAAAATGAAATTTTACAATTAATTAAAGATTTTGAAGCTAAAATAACAATGGAAATTGAAATTGATCCACGTACACATGCACGTATAATTGGTACTGGTGGACAAAAATTACAACAAATTATGAAAGAATATAATGTTGAAATTAGATTTCAAGCTAATAATCAAACTGATAAAGTACATGTTATGGGTTTAGATCAAGAAAAAATTGATGCTTGTATTGATCATTTATTATTATTAGAAGAAGATTATCTTCAAGATCTTCCATATAGACCAACAACAAATGTACAAAATCAAAATGATTCAATATTAGGTCAACAATCATCAAATATTCAACAAGATCGATCAACAACTAATAATGTTAAAGTAATCAATGAAAATAAAAATAAAAAACAACAACGACAAGCATCATTTCAAGTTAAAAATGCACCATGGACTAATGGAAAAGAATATGATAATGAATATGAACAAAATAATTATTCACAACAACGTAATGAACATGAAAATTCAATGAAAACATCAACTACTATGGCACCTAATCGAGATGATTTGGGTAAGATTGACAAAAAAAAAAAAAAATTTCAGTGATAATAAACATCATTCCATTTGCCTCAAAAAATTTTCTATAATGAGTTGTTTACTTTAATCAAGTATTTCTTGAGAATTTCATAATTATAGCCATTGATGAAGTTGAAATCTATGTGAAGACCGTTCCAGATATTGAATATGTCACTACATTTCAGAATAACAACAGATAGATGTTTCCTATATGTGACATAGTAAAGATATGTACGACTTTATTTACCAATAAAAGGATGCTTTGAAATAGTAGTGAACTATAAAAATGTTTAAAACGCTTTTTTTTGAGGTTCACAGAAAAAAATAGTGCTTTTATTCTATATCTAATATACGGAGATCGATCAACTCCGTAGTTGTACTAGCAATTAGAGTTTACCCTACTATGTTTCCAATAACAATATCAGGCAAAAAGAGTCGAATTTAGATATTTTTTATGTGGTAGTGAGACTTTTGACGATTATTGTAACTGTTGAAATGGAACAAAAATTTAATTTGACACTATCCATAATTAATATTAACCTTTCGAAGAGAATCATATGCGCATTTATACTTTCTTCAAAGAAAAAAGGATTTACAAAATTTTTCATAAAACAAACAAAATATAGTTTGTCGGAAAATCAACACAAAAAAAAATCTTAATAAGATTCGTTATTTTATAGTATTTTGAGCTTGAAATAATTTATAAAAAAATTTCTGTAAATAAGAAATCAAATTTTCGGTTTTTTTGTTTTATTTTTTCAGGCGAATATCCATTGTTCAGTAATGGTCTCACATTATCAACAGATGATAGTTCATCACAAGTGCCACAAACAACAGTGAATACAATACCAGTTATTTGGGGTCCTCAAAAACGAAATAAATAAGAGCGACACAATAACATAAGAAGAAACAATATTCGTATGTCTTGTCTTTAGTGTCACGTCGAAAAACTGTGATTTGTTCTCTTTTTCTCCAAACATTATTTATTTACTTGTCCATGTTTGCTCAAATTGTCTAACTATTTAGAAAAAAAAAGCCTTCCTTCTCGTCCTTCCCTTCCCACCCTCTTATTTTCTACGTCAATGTCTGTTTTTTTCTGTATGTTTTTCTTTATCTACTCATAAACATATTATTCTTTATTCTTATTGGGTTTGTTATGACTTCTGTATCTATTAAAAACTCTGAGAGAAAAACTAAATTTCAAGGGTGAATTATCGGTTATCATTATGCAATACTATTACTTTTTGTTTTGTTTTTCTTGTTTCCTCTCTCATGAGTGTTTTTTTCTTTCTTTCTTTCTTCCTTTCTTCTCATTATGTGTATATACCGTATTGTTTTGGTTGAACTATATTGTTTTGTTAATGAACTAGTTTAAAACAAAAACTTCGATCTCTTGTCAGTTGTCTCGTTGAGCTTTATTTATGTGTGTGTGCGTGTGTATGTATACGTTCGAACAATCTTAACTGTTTGTTATTTACGTCTTTGTCGAGACTAACTAGTTCTGTTTTTGGTTTTTTGATTTATTATTATATGTGTACACTTCAGAGGAGTTCTTTTTTTTTTTTGTTTTGTTTTGTTTCTAAAGCAAATCATCTACCATTTTATATCAGTCGTGTGCCCGCGTGCTCTTATCGATGAGATCTTTTTCGTTACTTCTTTGTTTGTTGTTGAAAAAAAAAAATTTTTTTTTTTTTGAGAATGATTATACAACTACGTGAGTCTCGTAAAAGAAAAAAAAAACAGGAGATAAAAGTTAAAGATTTGCTAGATTGTACGCGCTCCGTTTCTTTTAGTGTGTTCGGTTCGATTTTGTTTGTTTTTGTTTTTGTTTTTTCCGTTTGTTTTTCAAAGAATCATTATATTGCTCTATAAGCCTATTCAACCATTATATTGTTATGAAATTATCGTTTGTCTCTTATTTTGCAGACTTGCGCTCGCTCTTTTATCTCGTTGTTTGATTTTTTTTTTCTTCAGAAAAAAAAGAAACAAATAAATGGTTATTGAGAAAATATCAGAGCCACCAACATGATTAATTTTTTTTTCTGCATAAGATAGTTATGAAAATTGACAAAAATTTTATCTTTTTAGTATGAGAGGCATGATTATTTTAAAGTCTTGATATAGAATTTGAACTTTAATTTTATGATACATGCTACTTTCGAATGTGTTATTTTGAAAAAGAAGTCTATTATTAAGCAAAGAATCAGAGCTAGTTTTGTTAAACTATTTTCTTGAGATTTTAAATGAATTTTAATATATTTCTCTTTCCTAAGGATACACTTGTGAGTCATTGATTAGTATAAATCCTTTATAGAATTTAATATTTTTAGATGGAAACAGAATCCACAGCAAGTCCACCACCGCCACCACCACCGACAACGACAAGCGCAAGTACTGAACCAAAACTTCCAGTATGTATACTTGTACTTGGTATGGCTGGTTCAGGAAAAACAACATTTATACAACGTATAAATGCTTATTTACATGGTGAACAAACTCCACCTTATATTGTTAATCTTGATCCAGCTGTACATGAATTACCGTATCCATGTAATGTTGATATTCGTGATACAGTCAATTATAAACAAGTTATGAAGCAATATAGGCTTGGTCCAAATGGTGCAATTGTAACATCATTGAATTTATTTTCAATGACATTTGATCAATTATTATCAATATTAAATAAAAATCAAACAAAATATAATTATTTTCTTTTTGACACACCCGGTCAAATAGAAGTATTCACATGGTCAGCATCAGGTACTATTATAACTGAAACATTAGGTGCAACTTATCCAACAATTGTTGTTTATATAATGGATACACCACGTTCATCAAATCCAATAACATTTATGTCAAATATGCTTTATGCTGTATCAATACTTTACAAATATCGTTTACCATTTATAATTGTATTAAATAAAACTGATATAATTCATCATCGTTTTGCACTTGAATGGATGAATGATTTTGAATTATTTCAATCAGCTATTGAACAAGAACATTCATATTCAACAGATTTATGTCGATCATTAAGTCTTGTATTAGATGAATTTTATTCAAATTTACGTTGTGTTGGTTTTAGTTCAATGACAGGTGATGGTTGTAAAGAATTTTTTGATTCTATTAATGATGCATGTCATGAATATGAACATGTTTATAAAGTTGAATATAATAAATGGCAAGAAAAAAAATTAAAACGTGAAAATGATAAACATGAAAAAGATTTAAAACGATTAAAAGAAGATTTAAATACCGAACAAAGTATTATTAGTGAAAAACGTATTAGATATGATGATATTCATAATGATGAAGAAACCGATGATGATGATGACGATGAAGATAAAGATCAGGATGATTTGGATCAAGAAGATGAATCATTTAAACGATATTTATCCAAACATGTATCAAATACTACTGCCATGGATACATAAACATTTGTGTAAATAACAGACAAAAAAAAAGTGATGAAACTTTATTGTTCATATTTATTTGAGAATCAAATAAAACAGAAAAAATATATATCCGATGTGATAATAGAAATAAGACAGTTAAAACTTGTTTATATAATTTAAATTTTTTCGAACATGTTGCAACCATATAAGATGGTAGAAAAATGTTTAACAACAACGTATTTGTGATTTTTTTTCTATAATGCTAAGCCATTAGCTCAAATCTAGATAGTGATATTAAAACCAATGGATTTTTCTGAAGCAAGGTTTCATAGATGAACTATGATGGTAAGGTTTCTAAAAAACTGGAGACAGTAGTTGTCGGATCACAAAATGATGAACAACATGAGAGATTGCTGCATTTTTTTCAATCTTCTCTTAAAAATTTAAAAGTAGTACAAAAACTGAAAAAAGGTCGCTTTTAGTCGATTTTCTGGTAAATTTGATTTTTTTGATGTCCTTTTAACTTTTTAAGGCAAGGTCGTAGAAAATGCGGCGATCCCTCATTTTGTTCAGAACTTTATGCTCTTTAAAAAGGCATTGTTAACCCTTTATTCCCAATGGTCAATGAAATTGCCATTTGTAATAACTCTACCAAGAAATACAAGAAGCATGGTATTCAAAATCAGTCTAGATATTATTTGTAGTAAGACTTATGGACTATTGATTATAAAAAAAAGGATATGTTTTCTAATTCCGTTTCAGAAGTAAATAACTTACAAAACTGATAAAAATGAGAAAACAGTCATAATAGCACTTCTGTATTTTAAATTCTATTCTGTCTTCGGGATATATACAGCTCCGCATTGTTCTGGTTGGTATTGTATCGATGTTAGTATCCGCTTGGGTATGGGTGTGGGGGGGGGGTGTAGGTGGATGTGGGTGGGTGTAGATGTTAATTGAAAGAAGATAGACACCTAAACCTACACTCACTCAAATTCACCCACATCCCGACTTCGATAATCTTTTTTTATCGAAAATTAGTGCTCATTGAGATCCGGGTGAGAATAAGTCATAGTGGATTGGAGTGGACTTATAGTGGACCGATCAAAATGATATTAGATATTTTTATCAAAAGTTTTTCAAAGAAAATGGCTTATAGTGGGGTACTATGAGTGGGAAAGTCTAATCTCTATCGGTTGATAATAAATTAGAGTTAAACAGTGGTTGAGGTGGATTGTAGTGTATTTTACTAATACCCCCAATGCAATGGCCATAGCACCCTGCGCATAAGAAAAAGAGTTTGGGTGATCTTTTTATTTTGTTGGTTCTACTAAGAGTATTAGCATTCTTTTTCAATACTTATATTATATCCACATCATGTGGAACCACTACGGGGGTAAAGGATTAAACAATAGTTCCAACAAAGTTATCTAGGATCTGAAAACTACGGTGTCCGTCTTTTATTAGAAACCTTTTTCTATGAAATCTTGGTGTAGAATGTATTAGATAAAAAAATTCTATTAGCTATTAAAACTACTGTCTAGATTTGTGTTAATTTCTCAATATTATAGAAAAAAAAATCAAAAATACGTTGTTATTAAACTTTTTTTCATCACTTTACATTGATATAATATTTGTTGGATAAAAACAATAATTTTGTTTATTCTCATGTAATCAAATGTTTGAACTTGATTATTATTGATTCATACAAAATCTTTTTCACTACTCTTAGCAAGTTTGAATCTAGTTATATACTTGTTCACTCAAAATACATCTATATTTCATTGAACATAACGAAAAGAAACAAGTTTTCATGTTATAATTTGAAATGTTTCTGTGATGTGTTCTTAAATAAAAATATGTTAAACTGTAAGCAATGGAAATTATATTCGTTGTTTTCTTTCGGTCAGGTTTGAAGTCATGGTTATTATAATGAAGTTCAAGGTGATATTTAATTTTTCCTGCACTCAATGTAAATGGAAAAGTTACTCTATGTTTCCGATATAAATAGTTTCGTATGTATGAGAAAAAATTGTTTTGTTCTTGAAAAAAACTTCTTTCTATGTAAATAAAAAATATGAAAGATACAACAAATGCACTTAATCGTTTGGGGATGAATGACCCAGTATAGGGTCATAATGGTTTCCTAGTATTTTGAAACACATAGACTTATATGTAATATTAGTTGTCGTGAAAGCATTTATCAGAAACCTTTTTGGTGTAATTCTGGTATTTTATAAAACATTTTTATAAAATAGAAATATAGATTGATTCATGATCAAATATACAGAACAAGAGAAATTTTCTTTTTTTCCAAAAAGACTTTACTGCCAAAGGGTTCAACCAAGAGGGTACAAATACAACTTCAGTATTTCGAAATATGAATGAAGTATGTTGAGTATCGTACTTTACAATATTCGACTCGTATGTCTAAGTAGTGGAGTCACGCTTTTGTCCTTCTTCCCTTAATTAAAACTCAAAATGTATAA